AGATATAACCTGATTTCTGATGCTGAACCTGATTTAAGTAAAATTACTTAATAAGTTTGATAACATCTTTTTGTTTATTAAAATAATAAAAATAATAATAACTATCAATAAGCACAATGTATGAAATGAACTACTGAGTAAAGACGGATATCAGTCTGTCTGACTGACTGACCATAGAACATAGTATCCACTACCTAAGCACAATGGTAACCACACGATTCAGAAACAACTCTAAATTTTGAACATAACTATTAACATAATCTACCACCACCTTTTTACTTCACTGAAAAACACATAAAATAACACTTGCAAAGCATGCTGTGAACTGCACATGTTAGTTAGTCATATTTCAGGTGCACATGTGTCGAACGTGTTCATCCTGAGCTTTAATGAAAATTGTATTTTTGGTCACTGTAACTTAATTAAGTTAAAACAGAACTTTCTTGATTTATGTTACATTAAACCAATTGAAGTAGGTTACAACAGCAAAAATAGAATTTGTAGGTTGAATCAGGTATTAATACCTCCTTAAATCAACAACTGCACATTCACTATTTAGAGTGCAGTCAACAAAAATCTCTCTCAGTTACAGTCATTTAAGGTTTTCTGTCATGTTTATCTAATGATGTCAAACTACACATGTGTAATAATTCATCTGTAAATTTATGTTAATTGTAAGAAAGTGTCTGAAAAAATGTAAACCTTATTGTACTGTACTGTGGGTGTCACAAACAAGTAAATGTCAAATAAATTTAAAATTCTAAGACAAAGTAATAAAAGTTTGTCACTCTACTCAATTTTCTCTCTACTTTAACAAGAAAAAAATATGATTAATATTATAATTATTTATATGTATTATTATTACTATTACAATATATAATGCTTAAATTAAAAAAAAAAGTAAAAGTATGATTAGGCCTACCATTGATTGTGTTTAACCTTATTTATTTATTTATTTTTTATTATTTATTTTTTTTTTTTTTACCCATGCGGCTTTAATGGTTTGGAGGTTTAATGTACACAGCCCTAACTTGTTTAATCTCATTTTTGTCTTTCATGCTATCCTCTGTGAACCGATACTGGATTTTCTTCTATAGGTAAGAAAAACTATTTTTTTTACTCTAATTTAACTGAGATGCATGCTTTTGATGGATGATTGCATTATTATGTGTTTAATAGAGACTGAAAAACTTAGATATCTGTTTGAACAATTGACCATAAACATATTCACTTGTACAACCGGGTACAACCTGTTGATACTATTCCAGTTTTTGTTCTACCTTTCATTTCAATGAGAGTCTGAGAGTGGAACGTTGTGTTCTGTATTGAATTCGTTGGGCGCTGTTCATTCCGAGGGTGCTGAAATGCTCAACGGTTTCATCCAGTTGACTCTGTTGTGTCGGTTACTGATTGATTAGCCTGTGACCCAGTCCCATATCAACATGAATCATATACTACTACTAATAATAATAATAACATTGTAATATTATTATTATTTTACTGATGTTTTACATGTGGTTGCAGCCGTAGTGAGGCTACTGGTCTTGTATTTGCGACTTTAAAGCTCTGAGTGCCGCTGTTGATTAACATGTGAGAAGAGAGAGTCTATCTCTGTATAGTCTGTATTGTCAGTCCCTTACTGTCTCGGTAGGACATATGCAGCGTTTCTTCGACGGAAAGAACATGAATGCGTCATTTTGGATTTAAGTATTTTTTGTGTGTCTGATCCCACTTTTTTTGACCACACAGTTTATCAAGATGGCTTTCTGTTGCTTATTAAGCATTTCAGGCGGTATGTGGGTGGTTTTTACGCATTCAAAATGGCAGATTGTGTTTTTTATTCTTTGCTTCAGCGGAATGGACGTCGTAAATTGCAATGTGAGATATTCCGTCCCGGAGGAAATGCCAGAGGGATCATTCGTAGGCAACATCGCTAAGGATCTGGGGATAGAGATAAGTAGACTCATATCAGGAAAAGCTCGTGTCGTAACAAAGGGTGGACGACAATATGTCGATCTGAGCAGAGACAAAGGAACTCTAGTAGTTAAAGAAAGGATAGATCGCGAGGAGCTCTGTAAGCAAACGACGCCTTGCAGCTTCAGTTTTGATCTTATCGTTGAAAACCCTATCCAGCTGCACCGAGTTACTGTTGAGGTGCAAGATATAAATGATAATGCTCCGTTATTTCCGAAAGAAAATGTTAACCTGAAAATAGCTGAAAATGCAGTTTTAGGAGCTCGCTTCCCTTTGAATAGCGCTATAGATACAGATGTCGGTCTGAATTGTATACAGAGCTATAAACTACATCCGGCTGATAGTTTTAAACTGGAGGTGCATAGTCAGACCGATGGGAACAAATACATTGAGATGGTTTTACAGCGAGAACTTGATCGAGAGGAGCGCGATGAAATTAATTTGGTTCTTGTAGCAGCTGATGGTGGATCACCTCAAAAATCAGGCACTGTAAAAATTCATATTACTGTTCTGGATGTTAATGATAATGCCCCGGTGTGTAAACAGTCAGTATTTAAAACTGAAGTAAGGGAGGAGTCACCAGCTGGTACTGTTATTGGTTCTGTTAGTGCTGCTGATGCTGACGAAGGTGCAAATGGACATGTTTCCTATTCCTTCGCTGTAGCCAGCAAAGAAGCTAGGGAGCTTTTTGAGATAAACACAGATACAGGCGAGATTACAATTCTTGGTCATTTAGATTATGAATCTCAAAATAGTTATCAGTTAAACATTAAAGCAAAAGATAAAGGGGGTCTCGCAGATACTTGCAAATTTGTCATAGATGTAATTGATGAAAATGACAACTCTCCCACCATTCAGCTTATGTCCTTCTCAAACACCCTTCCTGAAAATTCTCCACTGGCAACAACTGTTGCAGTCATTAACGTAGAGGACGCGGATTCGGGAAAAAACGGCCTTGTTCATTGCTCTCTAAATCAAAACATACCGTTTAAAATTGAGTCATCTCTCACAGACTATTATACTTTAATTACTGATGATATGCTTGATCGAGAAAGTTTTGCTGAATATAACATATCGATCTTGGTATCAGACCAAGGAAGTCCAGCGCGACACCACGCAAACAAAACACTGACGGTAAAAATATCCGATGTCAATGACAACCCGCCTATATTCGATTCTGACGAATATAAAACATTTGTTGGTGAAAATAATTCACCTGGTTTGACTATACTGACTGTTAAAGCAAAAGATGCTGACTGGGGTCCCAACGCGCAATTGTCCTACTTCCTGAAGGATGAACACATGCGTGGTGTGCCGCTAAGTTCTCTCGTGTCTGTGGATTCACTTACTGGAACTATTCGTGCAGTGAAATCATTTGATTTTGAACAGTTAAAATCATTTTCCTTTAACGTGACTGCTCGAGATGGAGGATCCCCGCCCTTGAGCTCTGAAGTGACAATAAATATTAATATTCAAGACCAGAATGACAACGCTCCTCAGGTTCTCTATCCAGTCCAGACTGGCGGTTCAGTGGTGGCTGAGATTGTGCCTCGCGCTGCAGATGTTGGATATCTCGTCACTAAAGTGGTGGCTGTTGATGTGGACTCTGGACAGAATGCCTGGCTCTCCTATAAACTACAGAAAGCTACAGACAGAGCGCTGTTTGAAGTGGGTTTACAGAATGGAGAAATAAGAACTGTGCGACAAGTGACTGATAAAGATGCTGTCAAACAGAAACTCACTGTTGTTGTGGAGGATAACGGACAGCCCTCTCGCTCAGCTGTGGTCTCCATTAACGTGGCTGTGGCTGATAGTTTTCCTGAAGTGCTGTCAGAGTTCACAGACTTTGCGCACGAAAAACAATATAACGACCACCTGACTTTTTATTTAGTTCTCGCACTGGCCGCTGTTTCTTTCCTCTTTATCACTTGTGTGGTTGTGATAATATCAGTAAAGATCTACAGATGGAGACAATCTCGCTTCGTCTATCAGTCCAATTTGCCTGTTATTCCGTACTATCCACCGCATTACGCAGACACAGGAGTCACTGGAACTCTGCCGCACGGGTATAATTATGAAGTGTGCATGACGACTGACTCGAGGAAGAGTGACTGTAAGTTTTCTACACTCGGTGGACAAAGTGTGTTAGTGGTGGACCCAAATTTCACTGAGACGATGCAGCGCGCAATGAAAGAAAATAACTTCTTAGAAGATCCCGACAAGTATCCTGAAATGGTAAGATTGGCTCTTTTTAAAATACTGACATAATGTAGAAATAGCATGCAGTATTTTTGGCTTTCAATAATAATAAAAAAGGCATGTGATATTATCTGTAACACTTTACCATAAGGTTAATTCGTTCACATTAATTAATACATGAGCAACCATGCTAAAAATAAATAGCATTTTTACAAGATTTATTTCTATAGTTAATTATTCGCTTTTGTATATACTATACATTTGTAAAAATTGTAACATATTTTAGGTTATATGAATCAATGTTTGTTAACGTGTTTTGCCAAAAATTAATTTGCAATAAACAATAATATATTTGTTCATCAAATCTGACTAGAATAATAATAGCTGTGTTGTTCACTGTTAGTTCATAACTACTCCATTAGCCAGTGTTAACGAACGGAGGCTGATTGTACAGTACAGTATTATCTTTAAAAAAATTAAATGCGCCAATCATAAGGTTCTATGTGTAAAGGAGGTTATCTCACGTTGCTAAGAATATTGATTATTTATCTCTTTACTACTTAACGTAAAACAATATTAAAGTGTATTATGATAGCTAGTTGAAACGTTGTTGGATTATTGTTGTTTAGGATATATTACCCTGTTCAATTTTTGTTGAGATCAAACGACGGGATGCAATTCTAGTATTGAGACATTTCATGGCTTTCATTGGTGTCGTTTCTGGTTCTCAACTCTAAGGGCCGCTGTTGATTTGTAGAAAAGCATAGGTGATCTCCTGTGATTGGTGGAACTGTGCTGTTGCTGGTTAGGAGATGAAGGGGACTAAAGAGAGTCGAGGAAGGGACACAGTCACTGACTAACAGCAACCGAGCTGGATTATTCGTGAATGTTTCTATTGATGAACACGATCTACGCTAAAGCCTGCAACCTAAACAATTAAATAATAATAAAAAAATGTTCGTGAATTCAGCAAGTACTAAAAGAATCCTTCGTTCCCAATCGCGAGGACATCCATTGGATGGTGTTTTCCTATGGAGGGTTGTATTCATCATGGCCGCTTGCTTGATCTCAAACACAAACGCACAGATTCGTTACTCAGTTCCAGAGGAAATGAAGAAAGGATCTCTTATCGGGAATATAGCTCATGATCTTGGTCTGGATGCTCAAAGACTGCGCTCGGGTCGGGCTCGTATCGTGTCTGGCGACAGCACTGAATACGTAGAGCTGAAAACAGACAAAGGGATTTTGGTTGTGAAGGAGAGAATTGACCGAGAGCAGCTTTGCGCTGAAACCACTCCGTGCAGCTTCACGTTTGAAATAATACTTGATAATCCAATGGAGCTACATCACGTCACGGTAGAAATATTGGATGTAAACGATCACTCTCCAACATTTGCGAAGGATGAAATTAATCTTGAAATAAGCGAATCGGCCACACATGGGGCTCGTTTTTTACTGGGAAGCGCAGATGATCCTGATGTGGGTGTAAATGCTCTCCAAAATTATATGATGTCACCTAATGATTATTTTATTCTGAAACAACATACGCGGCCCGATGGAGTAAAATATGCTGAAATGGTGCTTCAGAAACCTCTAGACAGAGAGCAGCATCCACGACTGTCTCTTATTCTCACAGCCGTCGACGGAGGAAACCCTCAAAGATCTGGGAAAATAAAAATAGAGTGAATGTACTAGATGCAAATGATAACGCACCTGTCTTTAACCAGTCAGTTTACAGAGCAACAATTAAAGAAAATTCCCCCAAAGGAACGTATATTACAACTGTTAATGCTAGTGATGCAGATAGTGGAATGTATAGTTTGATTTCATACAGTTTTGCTAATTTGAAAGGGAACATAAATAACGTTTTTGAAATAGATGAAAAAACAGGAATTATCACACTAACTGGAATGCTTGACTATGAAAAAGCTAAGAAATACGAAATTAGCATAGAAGCTAAAGATCACGGGGGTTTAGGAAACGCAGCCAAAGTCATAGTTGATTTAATTGATGTTAATGATAATGCACCAGTTATCAGTGTTATGTCATTTTCAAGTCCAGTTACTGAAGACGCAACTGTTGGAACCACTATCGCTATTTTCAGTGTCAAAGATCTAGATGCAGGAGACAATGGACACGTTGACTGTACAATTGATAGAAACACACCATTCAAACTTCAGTCTTCACTGCGGAATTATTACACTTTAGTGACTGGCGCTGCTTTAGATCGTGAACGTGTGGCAGAATATAACATCACAATCACAGCTACAGATTTAGGGTCTCCTGCACTTTCCAGTCAGAAAACTTTAAATCTGAAAGTATCAGATGTTAATGACAATCCGCCCAGGTTCAAAAGACTATTTACACTGCATTTGTTACTGAAAATAATTCACCTGGTTTATCCATATTTACTCTGAGTGCTCAAGATGATGACTGGAACCAGAATGCTCGTATTTCCTATCTTCTAGATGAAACTACAGTGGGTGGATCCCCTGTTTCCTCTTTTGTATCAGTAAATGCTGACAGTGGAGTGGTACACGCGCTGCGCGGATTTGACTATGAGCAAATGAAAAGTGTTAGTGTTTGTGTGAAAGCACAAGATGGAGGCTCTCCACCCCTCAGCACTAATGTGACTTTGGACATTATAATCCAAGATCAGAATGACAACGCTCCTCAGGTTCTGTATCCAGTCCAGACTGGCGGTTCAGTGGTGGCTGAGATTGTGCCTCGTGCTGCAGATGTTGGATATCTCGTCACTAAAGTGGTGGCTGTAGATGTGGACTCCGGACAGAATGCCTGGCTCTCCTATAAACTCCAGAAAGCTACAGACAGAGCGCTGTTTGAAGTGGGCTTACAGAATGGAGAAATAAGAACTGTGCGACAAGTGACTGATAAAGATGCTGTCAAACAGAAACTCACTGTTGTTGTGGAGGATAACGGACAGCCCTCTCGCTCAGCTGTGGTCTCCATTAACGTGGCTGTGGCTGATAGTTTTCCTGAAGTGCTGTCAGAGTTCACAGACTTTACGCATGAAAAACAATATAACGACAACCTGACTTTTTATTTAGTTCTCGCACTGGCCGCTGTTTCTTTCCTCTTTATCACTTGTGTGGTTGTGATAATATCAGTAAAGATCTACAGATGGAGACAATCTCGCTTCGTCTATCAGTCCAATCTGCCTGTTATTCCGTACTATCCACCGCATTACGCAGACACAGGAGTCACTGGAACTCTGCCGCACGGGTATAATTATGAAGTGTGCATGACGACTGACTCGAGGAAGAGTGACTGTAAGTTTTCTACACTCGGTGGACAGAGTGTGTTAGTGGTGGACCCGAGTTTCACTGAGACGATGCAGCGCGCAATGAAAGAAAATAACTTCTTAGAAGATCCAGAATTGCACGAAATGGTAAGATCGGCTGTTGTTTAAAATACTGAAAAATGTAGAAATAGCATGCAGTAATTTTTGGCTAGTAATAAAAAAAAGCCTGTTACATTATCTGCAACACTTTACCGTAAGGTTTAATTCGTTAACATTGATTAATGCAACCATGAACTAAAAAGAAATAGCATTTTTACAACATATATATATATATATATATATATATATATATATATATATATATATATATATATATATATATATATATATATATGTATTTACAACATATATATAAATAAAGAATATATGAATATATATATATATATATATATATATATATATATTCATATATTCTTTATTTATTTATTTTATTGTACTATTCATTTATAACATTTTAACTTATTTTAGGTATGAATCAATGTTTAACGTGTTTAGAACGAAAATTAATTTGCAATAAACAATAATATATATATATATATATATATATATATATATATATATATATATATATATATATATATATATATATATATATATATATATTAAACAAATCTGACCAAGATTAACAAATGTTATATTGTTCGTTAGTTCATAATAAATGCATAAGCCAGTGTTAACGAACGGAAGCTGATAATACAGCAGTATCTTTAAAAAATAATAATAATTGAGGCATTCATAAGATTATATCTGTAAAGGGGGTTATCTCACAAGTTAATAAGAATAGTGATTATTTATCTTGTTTACTACTAAACGTAAAACAATATTAAAATGTATTATGAGAGTTGGAACGTTGTTTGATTATATAGATGTTTTGAGATATATTATCCTGTTCAATTATTGTTGAGATCAAAGAGAACGGCATGCAATTCTAGTTTTGAGACATTTCAGTGCTTCATTGGTGTCATTTCTGGTTCTCAACTCTAAGGGCCGCTGTTGATTTGTAGAAAAGCATGTAGGTGATGTCCTGTGATTGGTGGAACTGTACTGATGCTGGTTAGGAGATGAAGGCGACTAAAGAGAGTCGAGGAAGGCACACAGTCACTGACTAAAAGCAGCCGAGCTGGATTATTCGTAATTATTTCTATTGATGAACATAATTTACGCTAAAGCCTGCAACCTAAAAAAAAAAAAAAATTAATTTAGAAAAATGTTTGTGATTTCAGCAAGTACTAACAGAATCCATTATTCTCAATCGCGAGGACATCCTTTGGATGGTGTTTTTCTATGGAGGGTTTTATTCATGATGGCCGCTTGCTTGATCTCAAACACAAACGCACAGATTCGTTACTCAGTTCCAGAGGAAATGAAGAAAGGATCTCTTATCGGGAATATAGCTCATGATCTTGGTCTGGATGCTCAAAGACTGCGCTCGGGTCGGGCTCGTATCGTGTCTGGCGACAGCACTGAATACGTAGAGCTGAAAACAGACAAAGGGATTTTGGTTGTGAAGGGGAGAATTGACCGAGAGCAGCTTTGCGCTGAAACCACTCCGTGCAGCTTCACGTTTGAAATAATACTTGATAATCCAATGGAGCTACATCACGTCACGGTAGAAATATTGGATGTTAACGATCACTCTCCAACATTTGCTAAGACTGAAATTAATCTTGAAATAAGTGAATCGGCCGCGCCTGGAGCTCTGTTTTTACTGGGAGGCGCAGATGACCCTGATGTAGGTCTAAACGCACTACAACATTATACTATGTCACCTAATGATAAATTTATTCTTAAAGAACAATCGCGGCCCGATGGAGTCAAATATGCTGAAATGGTGCTTCAGAAACCTCTAGACAGAGAGCAGCATCCACGACTGTCTCTCATTCTCACAGCTGTCGACGGAGGAAACCCTCAAAGATCTGGTAATATGAAAATAGAAATCACTGTACTAGATGTAAATGATAACGCACCAGTGTTCAACCAGTCAATTTACAGAGCAACAGTAAAAGAAAATTCACCTAAAGGAACCTATATTACAATTGTTAATGCTAGTGATGCAGACAGTGGTGCAAATAGTTTGATTTCTTACAGTTTTGCTAATTTTAAAGGTAACATAAATGACATTTTTAAAATCGATGATAAAACAGGTGTTATAATACTAACTGGGCTTATTGATTACGAAAAAGCAAAAAAATACGAAATTGATATCGAAGCAAAAGACCAAGGCGGTTTAGGAAACTCTGCTAAAGTCATAGTTGATTTAATTGATGTTAATGATAATGCACCAGTTATCAGTGTTATGTCATTTTCAAGTCCAGTTACTGAAGACGCAACTGTTGGAACCACTGTCGCTATTTTCAGTGTCAAAGATCTAGATGCAGGAGACAATGGACACTTTGACTGTACAATTGATAGAAACACACCATTCAAACTTCAGTCTTCACTGCGGAATTATTACACTTTAGTGACTGACGCTGCTTTAGATCGTGAACGTGTGGCAGAATATAACATCACAATCACAGCTACAGATTTAGGGTCTCCTGCACTTTCCAGTCAGAAAACTTTAAATCTGAAAGTATCAGATGTTAATGACAATCCGCCCAGGTTTCATAAGACTGTTTACACTGCATTTGTTACTGAAAATAATTCACCCGGTTTATCCATATTTACTCTGAGTGCGCAAGATGATGACTGGAACCAGAATGCTCGTATTTCGTATCTTCTAGATGAAACTACAGTGGGTGGATCCCCTGTTTCCTCTTTTGTATCAGTAAATGCTGACAGTGGAGTGGTACACGCGCTGCGCGGATTTGACTATGAGCAAATGAAAAGTGTTAGTGTCTGTGTGAAAGCACAAGATGGAGGCTCTCCACCCCTCAGCACTAATGTGACTTTGGACATTATAATCCAAGATCAGAATGACAACGCTCCTCAGGTTCTGTATCCAGTCCAGACTGGCGGTTCAGTGGTGGCTGAGATTGTGCCTCGTGCTGCAGATGTTGGATATCTCGTCACTAAAGTGGTGGCTGTAGATGTGGACTCCGGACAGAATGCCTGGCTCTCCTATAAACTACAGAAAGCTACAGACAGAGCGCTGTTTGAAGTGGGCTTACAGAATGGAGAAATAAGAACTGTGCGACAAGTGACTGATAAAGATGCTGTCAAACAGAAACTCACTGTTGTTGTGGAGGATAACGGACAGCCCTCTCGCTCAGCTGTGGTCTCCATTAACGTGGCTGTGGCTGATAGTTTTCCTGAAGTGCTGTCAGAGTTCACAGACTTTACGCACGAAAAACAATATAACGAAAACCTGACTTTTTATTTAGTTCTCGCACTGGCCGCTGTTTCTTTCCTCTTTATCACTTGTGTGGTTGTGATAATATCAGTAAAGATCT